GAATAACAACGGACGCTCCTTGGATAATATCTCCCTATTCAATGAATTTGAGTAGGGGAGAGAAAAAGAGTCCAAAAATTATTTTGTGTGTCAAACGATGTACACGAAAAAAATTAAGGTAAATTTTTCTTACCAAAAAAAATTTGTATATCAAAAATTAAGGTAAATTTTTCTTTTGACACACTATTTTGAAACTGACTTGGTAAAATATATTTTAGACAAAAATAATTTTTTTTAACTGACTCAAAAAAATAATAATTTTTATCCCTCAAGATTAATTGTTTATGCAGAAGATGTTGTCATCCTTACAAAGATTCCTAGACTCAAATAAGAATAAAAAGTCTTCGGAGTCTTCACTTCACTTCAAAAAATCTGCGTAGGGTTGAGCGTTGAATTTTATCGCTTGAAACTTCTTGATACCCTTCTTTGCTTTTCTCGGTACGAAAAATAGATTTTCGATTGTAGATTGAACTTAATCATCCTGTTTGTCATTTATCAAAACAAAAAATAATCCAAGAATAATAAAGGAGTTTGAACTCATGTCCAACAAATAATTTTCTAGGAACAAATATATTTTACAACAAATTATTTTCTATGATATTATTGGTTATTTTTAAACAAAGTAGTTCTTTTAAGTGACAATTTCATTCGAGATAGTTGAAAACTATATGGAATATGGTATTACACGCTATATATACTACTTTCTCTATATTTTACTCTTCGTTTAGAATTTTTTTCTCTCAAGCTAAGTAGTAGTCTAGAGTAACGATGTAAAAATTAATAATTTCTAGAAGTAGTAGTGTAAATTGCTGAATTTCAAAGTATTAACACAAAATCGTCAATTCCTTGGGGTATTTATGTTATTTTTTTTAAAAAAAATTATTTCTTCCGTCCCACAAAACCGTTTTCTTTCTTTTTTGAGAAAAGTGCACGGATTACCCCTGAACTTCTTCGAAAGTGCACGATTTACCCCTAAAGAATAAGAAGTGCACCAATCACCCCTCAACATAATTGCAATGGTTTACACGATGGATCTAGGATTGGAGGACCACTGGTGCAATGGTTTACATAATTGAGGAGTGATTGGTGCACTTCTTATTCTTTAGGGGTAAATCGTACACTTTCGAAAAAAATTCGGGGGTAATCCATGCACTTTTCTCTTTCTTTTTTCATTCGTCCTAAAGAATCTTTCTCATTTCTATTAAAAAGTCACTTTTACCCCTACTAATTTTTAACATATCTATCACATCACACTTTTTCACTATTAATCTACACATCACATCTACTTTTATCCATCACATCCATTTAAATCCTTTAAAAGTTAAAACCAAAAAGGTTTTGTGGGACGAAGGGAGTACAAGTTATTTTTATAAACAAAAGTAGTTTTTTAAGTGACAATATAATCTGATTCAAGATAGTTGACAAACTATACCCGATATGGTCATGTTAGACACCTTATGTAAGTTCTACAAAAATAATACTTTGGATTGAGCTAGAAAATATAAAAATGATTACATAAGTAGCTTAGTGAGTAATAATCTTTTGTTTATTATTGAGTTTCAGAGAGGCATTGAATGGCACCCATAAGGAAGCTATCCCCTTGAAGAATAATGAGAACTGGTGATTTTCCTATGCAACGAGCCTTGGCCAATATTATTTCTTCCATCAGATCTCGAAATTCTTGGCGATCAATTGTCCCACTTTTATCAACATCAAATTTCTCAAAAACATCATTGTACAAATTCCTGATCTCGTCCCTGGATTGCAACTCGAATTCCCTCGATCCAAATTTCCCAGGCCTATTTTCAAACGCTTCTCGTGACAACTCTCCCTTGCTTTCCACATCGAGCGAGTTGAAACTTTCGTCGACCCAATGGTGAAATGATTTTCTGTCGTTCACAAACGCTTCTATTGTGGGGCCATCGATAAAAACAACGCTCATTTTTTTTATCTTTGTGTCTATAAAAAAAGAAAATGAATTTGTGTTGATGTCAATTTATACACACCCAAAGTAAAAAATGGAGTAGCTGACTTTTTCAATTCGAGTTTATGGTAGAACATTGTCATTAATATTGCACACATTTTATTTGTCTGCAATGAAATAGCTTGTTTTTAACCACACATAAAGGAGAGGAAGATGACTAAAGGAAGAGAAAGAATCGTGAGATCAATGCAAAGGAGAGAATAGAATTTGGACGTGGAGAAAAAAAGTAGGGAGTCATAACAATTTTACACCATCTCTTTCAAACATAGATTGTGCAATTTTCCAAAGAGTAACATGAATGTTGAAACCCTTTAAATAAAGATTATTCATCTAGTTTAATTTTTCTCTGACGATTATTCGTGTAGTTTTCTCTGAAGATTATTCGTCTAGTTTTATTTTTCAAATTAAGCTAGATAAATTTTGATTAATAATTAAATTAAAATTAAATAGATATTTGTAAAAAAATGATTTCATTAGATTTATGTTGCAAGAAATTAGTAAAAAAAATATTTCACTGTCGTCAATTGACGCTTTGGGGATGGGGCAAGGGGTGCTGGTTGGGTGCAGAGAGTGTTAAGGGATAGTAACCTTCAATTTTTCATATGTAACACCATTAGTTTTTTTATCAAGTTATGACATTAATAGTTATTGTCAAAAGAATCGAGGGGATATAAGACGTAATACTTAAAATATACAAAATAAGTAATAATGGATTGGAATACTATTTAGGAAAAAGATTATTGTTAATGTTTATAGTTTATATGGAATTGATCGTATTTCCGTTATGGAAATAGTTTATTGAATAGTATTAAAAATTTCAGAATTCCATATGAATGTAATGACTAGATTTGTATTGATGAGACTAGTGACAAAGAACATCAAGATAATCTTTTCCCAACCAAGATAGCTACACTATGTTTTTCAAAAAGAAATACTCCCTCCGTCCAAGTTGAAATTTCTCGTTTTGACTTGACACATGTTTTAATGTAAAGTAAAAAAATGTAGAAAGTTTCTTCTTTTGCCCTTCTTGCGCCACTTTTTAAAAAACAAAGTGAACTTGGTACATTAAACAGTGTTCCATAGTGGTTTAGTACAAAAGTAGAAGATATTTTCCAATTCAATCATTTCAAGTACAATACAATGTACATATCCATATCCATATTTCCCATACGTGCAAAAAAGAACTTTTCCCTCCAAAATAAACATACACACAGTAAAAAAACAAAAAAAGAAAGGGAAAAAGTCTCAAACATCTTCTTCATATTCTTCCTCTTTTTTCTTCTTCTTCTTCTTCTTCTTATTCTTCTTCTTCTTCTTCTTCTTCTTCCTTTTCTTTCCAAAATCTTTAACCTTTTTTCTTCTGATTCACATGTCCCTACAAACAAAAAATGATGGTGAAGAAACCCAACCAAAAGGAAAAAGAAAGCACAGACTAAGCAATAATGAAAGGCAAAATATCATTGATGCAATCCTGTTGCTAGCAAAGCCTAATGCACTAGGTCAGATTACTGCTCAGGGGGGTGTTATATGTCAAATTGCAGTTGATTTCAACATTACAAGGAGGACAGTAAGCTCTTTGTGGAGGCAAGCAAGAAATCAATTAAAAGAAGGGTGTCGTATTGATGTGCAAAGCACTGGCAGGTAATCCTGGTAGGAAAAGAATTGATGTAGATCTAAATGCAATATGTGACATTCCATTAAGGAAAAGAACAACCATTAGATCTCTTGCCATAGCATCACGTGTACTTAAGTCAACAGTACACCTAGATTTGGGTTCAACATTAGTCTCACAAACCACCCCCCTAATTCTCCTGACTTGAACATCCTAGATTTGGGTTTTTTAAGGCAATTCAATCTTTAAAAGAACAATCAGCTCCTACTAATGTGGCAGAACTTATTAAGGCAGTTGAAGATGCTTATATAGATTTATCATCACACACTCTAAATAAAGTGTGGCTGAGCTACCAACATTGCATGCAAGAGATTTTAAAGGTGAGTGGAGGCACCAATTACAAAGTCCCTCATATGGCAAAGGATAGACTCATAAGAGAGGAAACTTTTCTTTGTGCTCTACCCCTAGAGGAGGGTGTACTCGAAAAGACACTTGAACTATTAGGTCAGCAAAGCACCCAAATTACATAGGTTGTGGAAATGGAGGAAGACATTATGGCTGAGTTCATTCTTGAAGATGAAGATGACTTCAATCTTGAAGAGTAAACTTAAACAATGTATTTTTTTTCTTTGAATCCAATGGTGTACTGTTGACTTAGGTACACCTAATGCTATGGCAAGAGATCTGATGGTTGTCCTTTTCCTTAATGAAATGTCACATATTGCATTTAGATTTACATCAATTTTTTTCCTTCCAAGATTACCTGCCACCTTGCTTTGCACATCAATACGACACTCTTCCTTCAATTGATTTCTTGCTAGCCTCCACATAGAGCTTACTGTCCTCCTTGTAATGTTGAAATCAACTGCAATTTGACTTATAAAACCCCTCTGAGCAGTAATCTGACCTAGTGCATTAGACTTTGCTACTAAGAGAATTGCATCAATGATATTTTGCTTTTCTTTTTTCCCTCTCTTTTTTTGTTTTTTTACTGTGTGTATGTTTATTTTGGAGGGAAAAGTTCTTCTTTGCACGTATGGAAAATATGGATATGGATATGTACATTGTACAGTACTTAAATGATTGAATTGGAAAATATCTTCTATTTTGTACTAAACCACTGTACACTGTTTAATACTTTAATGTACCAAGTTCACTTTGTTTTTTAAAAAGTGGCATAGGAAGGGCAAAAGAGAAAACTTTCTACATTGTTCACTCTATATTAAAACCCGTGCCAAGTCAAAACGAGAAGAGAGAGTATATTTTACTCTCATAGTCTTATTTTAGTGACTTTTTAAGAATAAAATCAAAAGAAGAATAAAATGGAAAAAGTAGAGTATACTACGTATATGATTAAAGTTGACTCGTATCATTATTCTTACCATATTCGTTAGCTAAAGTTGACGCCGACACATGACGAGTTCCAGAACAGAGCCCCCTCACATCCACCATGTCCAGCTCAAATCTGAGAATCCCCCTCCCAAACCCACGCTTTTCAATCTTTGAAGAAGGCTTTTTAGCTCATTCATGGCGGATTTCTGGTCTCTGGGGTCTCCTTCTCTCCCGGCTTTCGCTTAATCTTCATGCACGTGGCTTTCTCAAGCTCTGTTTCTAGTGATTTCACTGTCTGACTTTTGTTCCCAGGTACCAACCGAAGGGCTTTGCTTGTTTTTTTTTAAAAAAAAACTGTCTTTTTTACTTTTCATATTCGTTTGTGATGGATTTGTGCCTTAGATTATACTGCTTGAAATGTTTCTTTGATTCGAAGAAACATCTGGGGATGTCTGGTTTGTTGTCGTTGTTGTTCTGTTGCGCGGTCATTTTCTCTTTTCATATTTTATTTCCGGAAATAGAAGAATTATGAAGCAAGTTTCCCTCCCAAGTCTTTGCCCATAGAAGAAAACAATAAAAAAAATTAATGATGCTTTGCCCTTTTGAGTAGTCTAGGAGAGGTTGTTTTCTTCTCCAAGATTACTCCTGAATATATTCACCCATTCTTTATTTCATTGTTAAAATTTTGGTCTTGGATAATTGCTTCCATTCTTTCCTGGGGCTGATAAAGGAACAGCCTTTTATATTTTGTAAGGTTCAACTCTTATATTCTTCATCAATTCTAGTTGTGTTATAAAGTTTATTTTCATGCTTATCTAAAATTTTCTTCTTGAATTTGCTTGATGATCCCTACTTCCGAGTAGGGGCAAGGTCTGCGTACACACACCCTCCCCAGACCCTACCGTAGTGGGATTCAACTGGGTTGTTGTTGTTGTTGTTGAATTTGCTTGATGATTTTTCTGAAACGACATGATTTTGTTTTTTTTTTGGGAAAATTACATAAAGAATCTGTTTTCTTTTTCAGGACTTTCTTTTTACTGTTCTTGAAATACCATGCCTCTATATTTTCAGGCCAATGAAGAAGTAGAAAACGAGGTTTATTTATGTTAACTCCTGGAAGGTAGTCACGGTACTTTTGATTGACTTCAGCTGAAGCTCTGGAGTGGAACGATCAATGCGTTTCCAGGATTTATTGTTACTCTTTCTAGCATTATTTCCCACAGTTCTAACACAAACTGTTGATCATGCTGCAATTGTGATTGACACGACCAAAAAGATTGGAGATACGGACGCTAATTATATATGTGCTACACTTGATTGGTGGTCTCATGAAAAGTGTAACTACAACAAATGCCCTTGGGGTTATTCATCTGTGACAAACCTGGTAAAGAACTGAAATTATTATGTTTTGATATGGTCATCCGATTTCACCCGAGCTTTACATTTTCTGTTTCTTCTTCCTTCACAAAATAAGATTCTCATTAGAATTTGGCACCGGTGCACCACTTTGTAGGAATTGTTTTTGGATCCACACATTATGTGTGAAGTGAGGTGCCACTTCATTTGAGCCCAAAGTTTTTTTTCCCCTTCAAACTACATAGTAATGTTGAACCCTGACAGCCAAAAAAGGCACATGATGATCTTATTCTGGCACGAAGAGAGTATTTTGAAATAATTATTTGACGATTCTTACTAGCGTTTTTTTATCATTTCAGGATTTATCTCACCCGTTTTTGGAAAATGCCATTAAAGGTTTGTTTTTATGTCAACTTTGACACCTAGATCTAGACATGTATCCGTTCTCATTGTAGTACTCATTCCAACAACAACAACAACCCATGCAAACACACAAGTAGGGTCTAGGAGGATAGATGTACATATACCTTATCCCTACCCAAAAAGGTTGAGAAGCTGTTTCTAGAAGACCCCCGGCTCAGAAACTGACCTACAAAGAAAAGAAGAAAAAGGATGGTAGTAAGAGGGGCATATTAGGGACTGTAGTACCTACTCCATCCATAAATATTAGGTTATTTTGCTTGTAGCATGCGTTTCATGAAAATATATAGTGTCATGTAATTTTACTAAGAATAATATATGACAATTTAAAATAGGGAAAAAGGAGTAGAAAGTAGAGATGAAAACCAAAAATAATTCCTTAAAAATAGGAAAAAATGTTTTTTTTATGTTCGAAAGCAGTCATGTGAAATGTTAATTTCCAGTATCATTGGGTTTCTGAGCTTCAAGCTAATCACAACATTTTATTTTAATGATGGGAACTGGGAAGCCTCTGGCATTGGGAACATATGCCTCTTGGGATATCTATTTCTCAACCATTGTTATTATTATAGCTTTCAAGGGCTTGCGGTTGCGACTTGGAGGTTCATTGCAAGACCAAGTTCTTTATGATGTGGGCAATTTGAAGGCTCCCTGCCATCCCTTTAGAAAGCAGAAGGATGGGCTGTTTGGATTTTCTAAGGGATGCCTACATATGTATAGGTGGGATGAACTAAACCGCTTGTTCAAGAAGACAGGGTAACATATTCCCTTTCACTGTTCTTTCTTTAGTTATATGGTGTTAACAATGGTCAGTGTATCAAAATCTTACATCTCATTTATAACTTGTAGAGTACATGGTAGGGTTTTCAAGGAAAAGTGGACACTTCTGTTAAACCCTTGTTATATTTGAATTTCAGAGCACTTGTGACATTTGGTTTGAATGCGTTACATGGGAGACAGAGGTTTAACAAGCAGTGGAGAGGAAGCTGGGATTCCAGCAATGCCCGTGACTTTATAAACTACACCATTTCCAAGGGTTACCAGATACACTCGTGGGAATTCGGTAAGGAGTTCTCAATATCGGTTTGTTCTTGAAACTTGTTGAGTATCTCGTATTGGTTGGCTACCGGGTTTGAATCTAGTATATAAGTGTGAGATAAACCTCTCCTTAATAAAAATTCTTTTGGGGTTAGATAGACCTCTATCAGACCTGGTCCGGTCCTGGCCGGTAAGCTCCTCCCCCATGTAAGAAAACATGTTCAATTTTTTGATTGGCACCATAGATACTGACTTTTGACCAATATTTTATTTTCCTTTTGCAGGCAATGAGCTATGTGGTCCAGGTGTTGGTGCAAGTGTTGATGCGAAACTGTATGCAAAAGATACGATCAGACTACGTTCTCTCATACATCAACTGTATGAGAACTTCCACTTGAAACCTCTTATATTGGCTCCGGGAGGCTTTTATGATAAGTTGTGGTTCGAACAGTTCCTTGATGCTTCGGGGCCATCCACTGTCAATGCCTTGACTCATCATATATACAATCTTGGACCAGGTAACTTGGTAAACCCGTAGTATCATTTTTATGGATTTGTATATGGTAAACCGGGGTGATGCTTACCAGAATAAAGAATGTAGTCCAGGAAGCGTAAGTTACTTTTATTAAACTATAAAGACTGAAATGAAGATAAATGAGCTTTTCTACCTTCATCTTTTGAAGGTTTTTTTCATTAAGATTATTTCTAAAAACAATTTGATTCATTTTTATAAAATTCAACCGTTCAAAATTTCAGCCAAAGCTTCTGCAAAACCCCTCATTTCAGTCTATTTTAGCCCAGCAAATGGGCTCTTAAATGTAGAGGAAGATATGTTTGTCTGATTATGTCACCACTTTGGCACATGAATTAAGACCTACAAGTTCTGTTTTCAGGATCTGACACCAATCTCACGAGCAAAATCCTAAATCCCAATTACCTAAATAAGATATCAGATACATTTCAAAGTCTTTCACAAACCATTCAAGCAAATGGTCCTTGGGCTTCAGCTTGGGTTGGAGAATCTGGCGGTGCATATAATAGTGGTGGTGAGCATGTGTCGAACACCTTCATCAACAGTTTTTGGTAATTTCCGGTCATTGAACTTTATTTTTACTAAAACACAAAAATTTAAATGCAGCTTTGAATAAAACATAGATTTTGAACTTTAAAAAATAAAGTTGTCATTATATATGTATGTAATGGTATTTAAGGTATGTGGATCAGCTTGGGATGGCAGCCAAATACAAGACAAAAGTCTATTGCAGGCAAACCTTAATCGGTGGGAACTATGGGCTCCTTGACACAAACACTTTTGACCCGAATCCTGATTATTACAGGTTAGGCGAATGGTTTATTTAGTTCAAGGATAAAATCCTGTTTGGTTCGGCATAAAATAGCTGAAGTTGTGGCTGAATTGGTTGTATGTGCCAAAGTACCTAAACAAAAAATTACTAATTTTTATAGTAAAAATAAGTTAGGTGAAACATCTTGCCAATAAAGCTGGTAAGCCAAAAAAAAGGTTTTACCAAATGGGCTCCAACCCATTCTGCCAACGGAAAAATGGGATGAACTTTTTAAGTTGGTTCTTGAATGATTCATATGAATGTGGATTACCTAATGTTCTCTTTCAATTCAGTGCACTTCTTTGGAACCGGCTTATGGGACGAGGAGTGCTTGATGTTAAAAGCAATGCCTCACCGTATTTACGTTCTTACGCACACTGCACTAAAGAAAGAGTAAGCACTATTTGTATCAATTTTTATTTGGCACTAGGATATACCACATGCCTATGTTGCTCCAAAATTCAAATTGCATATTCTCATGGAACTTGCATCACTGAACTATAAGGATGTCACCTTAACCCCAAGTATGTTAGGATCTGTTCCATGAAGTTTGTAGTGTCAAGTGTAAAAAATTTTGGGGTTCAAAAGATCACTTTAATAAGTGAGGTTTATGCCCAATGTAGCAGGGATGATTCAGAATTCAAATAGAGGCACATTAAACCTTTATATTTAACTTGTTGCAATTGACATTCATACAGGCTGGTGTAACCCTGCTTTTAATCAACCTAAGCAATCAAACGGAGTTCCGTGTTGACATAAAACCTACTACAAGCACCAGCATGCATGCCAATGTGAGACCAAATCACAAGAAAAGGTCCTTCCTGCACCGGCTTAAGCAAATTGTTTCATGGGTTGGAAGCAAATCGTTGGATCTTTCGTTGTCCCGAGAAGAGTACCATCTAACTCCCAAAAACGGGTACCTTCAAACCCGAACCGCACTGCTGAACGGAATCCCACTGCAACTTACAGAAGATGGAGACGTCCCGGGCTCTTCGCCGGTCCTTAGAGATTTGAAGTCTCCTGTCTCTATACCCCCATTGTCCATCAAATTCATTGTGTTCCCCAACTTCAATGCCCCATCTTGCCCTGAGGTTTGAAGCATCATGCTTTTTTTACAAATGATTTGGTAAATTTATTATGGTCCCGTTTGGTACACGGAATTCAAACTATGGAATTGGAATAGAGGACTTCAATTTCAATTCTGGTGTTTGGTAGCATAAAAATTATGTAGATTTGGAATTGATAGTGCAAAAAATGAATTGGAATTGGTGAATTCAATTTTATGGAATTGAATCCCATGTAATTTCAATTCCAATTCCATCAATTCCGTATACCAAACGGACCCTATAGTTTTTCCGTATCACTGGCTTATGTTGCATTCTTATAACTGTGCAAATTTTACTTCCCAGTTCCCACACATGACTGCATTTGATTCATGAAATAATGTCAATATGATTTGATTTTCAAACATCAGAAAAGAAATGAAAATTGATCGCTTTCTCCGGCTCCTAAGACTTTTATAGATTGGCGGTTTTGCAAATGGTACATAGAAAAGTGTCTAGTTCGTAGATGTAACTTGGAGAGGCTTTGGTTAGACCAGCAAATCGGATCGGTTCCAGTTCGGATATCTATCGAATATGTGTTATAATTGGTTTAATTTGGTCCGGCTTAATTTCAAATTTGGATTTGATTTGGTTCTATACAATTTTAGGGTTTGGATCGACTAAGATTCGGTTAGGATATAGATCTGTTTGAATAGATTTGATATATTTCGGTTTAGATATATTTCGGTCCTGGATTCCTTTCTATTCGGATGCTTTTTGGCTAGATATATACTTATTTTTATATTAAAATTTAAAATTCCGTGTTTTCTTAGCACCTTTATTGTGTCATATCTATCAATGAATCATTTTCATTATTTTACCTTTTCTTAACTATTCTTTGAGATCTTTTCTTTAATTTTTCACCTTTTGTCTTTTAAGTTTTTTTGTCTATTATTTTCAGTTTTAAACTTTTTACTCCCTACTTCCTTTTTTAAAATTTTCTTTAGCTCATCTCAATCATCTCCTACATTAAAGCTCAAAGTGTGTAGCAGTTTGATTTAAAAAATTCAATTATAAATTAAGAAATTGAAGCCATATGGAATGTCTACATACTCGTATATAACAAAGTTGTTCAAGCTTAGTGGTAAGATAAAAAATATAAATTTGAAATTACATCAATGTAGTTGTTTACTTGTACAAATAATTATTTTGTAATGAGTTTTGAGTTTTATCAATTTTAGGTATAATGAACTTTGGGTATATTTGATTTCAGGTTTTATCAGTTTCGAGTCTTATCTTGATGTTATTGCTTTTGAGTCTAATTGAATCAAATTTAAATCAACTATGGATTTTTTGTTTGGTTCCGATTCGATTCGTATCATTTTAACTATTCAATTATAGATCAAATATTTACTTTTTTGATCATTTCAATTTTACTTTCGAATATTTTTATTTGATTAATTAGTTCTTGTTCTACTTTGCCAGCTCTAGCTTTCATGCAAATAATAAAGAGAAATCATCCCAAATAATATCACTCCTCACCATATTCTGATATGTTAAAAATATTGATATTATGTAAAATAATTTCATCTTTTTGAATAGTTACAGAGTACATATTTTGGATCGGTGTTATCCTACCACCATAAAATGGATTGAATGATGAGATGAAAATATGTTAATTTATATTGTGTAAAATGATCTCTCCTTTCATCTACTTACATATAACAATTACGGAGTACATCTTTACTTTTTTGTTCGTGTTTTACCTGTAGTTTTTGTTTTGCGTGCTCAACTTTTAGTTTGCTCTTTACTCTTTTGTATTTAGTGCCTTCTTTATTTTTTGATACGTTCATTTTTTGAATCAATCTCCCTACTTTCGAATATAGAAAAATCTTAGTATTTTACTGAGCTGTTGTTGTTGATAGTATGAATGATTTTTTTATTATGAATGATTTCAAGCTTTCTTCCTTGATGGAGCCCTTTTACTCCCTGACGTGGAATTTCCAAAAAGTTCATGGTTATTTGGTGTATTTTTTAATGTTTAGAGGTAAATTGTGCAATTTATGAAAAATTCAGGGTGTAAACGATGCATTTTTAATATTTAGGTGTAAACCATACAATTTCCAAAGAATTTGGGGATGAATGGTGCACTTTTTTTCTTTGATAAAGTCATATTCCCTCCGGTCCAAAAACTCATTCCATTTCTTTTTTTATTTGTCCCACAAAATGTTGTGGAAATTGACGAAAACTTGGATGAATCGAGAGTTGTGTATAACACTTTCAGATTGAATATTTTGGTTGTTCACTCCAAAATTCAATCGGATAAAACTCCAAGATATCAAGAACGAGTATGAATTACTTTGAAATTTCGGAACCCATAATTCGACCATGGCTTGCGGGAATTTATAAACTTGCGGTGGGAAGGAGAAGACGCCATCGCGTCTCTTTCCCAAGACACGCGATCCTTCGCGCGGAACTCTTCAAAAATCGGTCCTATCCTTAGGAAATTTTTTTTTAAAGAAAATTCGAAAAATAAAATTCCAATTGAATTTTTTAACATAGCACTTTGCCCAAAATAAAAATTCCAGCCAAGGGCTCTGCCCCTTGGACCCCGCAGGGCTGCCGCCCCTTGAACCCTGCTCGGGGGCGCTGCCCCCTTGGAACCCCCGATGTAACGAGATTTTTATCGTAACAAACTCAATGAAGCGTGCACGCCACACCACCAAACTTCTTTGATGATTATTAGGATACCATTGGTCATAGTTTTTCTGATTACACTAAAATATATAACACAAAATCATTTTCAATTCTATTAAAAAATCATTTTAGTCTTATTAATTATTAACTTACCTATCACATCATACGTTTTTATTTATAATCTACACATCACATTTTAAATTACCCATCACATCAAGGATATTTTTAAAAAGTCAGCACAAAAATATCTTTCTTTTAGATTGTCTAAAAATCAAAATGGAAACATCTTTTTTGGAACAGAAGTACTGATCAACAAATGTACACCTTCTCCTCCATCATCACTCATTTTTATTTATTCATTTCTTAATATACAACTATGGAGAAGGTAGTGTATGTACAATTTTGATGTACCTCTAACTTTTGAATAATGTTATTTGTGCCCAAGAATTTGTACCTCATTTTGTACATCGCAGGGATGCACTAACATTTTGTGTTGGTGTAATGTTAATTTTTGTTAACGCACCAACACTTTGTATCAATGTAAATTTTTGGTGTACAAATGAAGTATAAATTTTGAGAAATTTACCTAAATAGAACTAAAACATAATGACTTTTCCAATATAGGACTATATGTTTTTATTTCCCAATGTAGGACCTTTGGTCATTATCAAGTAATCATTATTCAACTAAATATCCATCATTGCTGGACATCATTCATTCTATTAGGTCATTATTAAGTCCTATTTAGGGAATAAAATAGTTTAAATCCTACATTAGAAAAGTCATTATGTTTTAATCCTATTTAGTGCAAATTTCACATAAATTTTGGGTACATGTTCCCTACCTTTTTTGTTAAAACTTTAAAGGAAATAGATCTGATGACGAGTTAATCCCAGAATCATAATAACGTTTCTCGTTCTAGAGTCCATCGCCAGAGCATCTGAACACACGGGCGGCGAAGGCCGCCGACAAGGGCTAACAGGTGCGTTCGCTTCTCGCTTCTCTCTTCTCTTCGTCTCCAAGTCGCCACTACTTTGGCTTCCCTCCGCTGCGCCGCCTCCAGGGTTCCCAACCGCGATTGCTCCGCTTTCTGGGCGTCCATACGCCAGCTCAAAGGACAATCAGGTACGCCGCTACTGGAGGCTCTTCTCCAGTTCCCTATTTTGTTTTACTTTTATATGAAGTAAGTTTGAATGAAATTGAAAATATGAAGTGGAATTGTTACGTGCTTAATTTGAGATTCTACATCTTTTTTCTTTGCTATGTACGATGTAATTAAAATCCACTGTGTTTGGGTGTTTTTGATATGTATTTGGTTCTAAAGTTGTTTTCCAGTTTTAATATCTACAAAACAGAACTTTAGAATGTAATTAGTTCAATTTAGTTGAAAGAAAATTAAATTTAGATTTTGTTTGAATTTTTTTCTGTAGATTATAGGAGTATTTTGAAATTAATCAAAAATAAAAAAAATTACAAATAAGGTATTTGAGATCGAAATTAGTATTGGAGTTTTGTGAAGCTTTGGTAAATCTTTGATATTCGATTAATGTAAATTGTTGTACAACAACAACAGCAAACCCAGTGAAATCCCACAAAAGGTTGGGTCTGTGGAGGGATTTATGTAAACTGCTGTCTGAAATTATATTAGAGTTTTGTGAAATTGGAGAAGCGTGATTTTATTGATCTTTAAATTTGTTACGGAGTATTACTAATCTATGTTCTGTTAATAATTTGGGAAATGGGACTATCTATCTACACTTAGAGGATTGTGACACTTATATGCTGAACTATTTTTAAGTTAACAATGGAACAACCTTTTGGGGTAATTATTAAGAGCATACCATTATCGAGTTACAACCACTTTAAGTCGCTGAATATATATTGTGGACAAAATTTATGGACGTGCAACTGTGCAAGTTTGTCAAACTTGAGATTCTAAATAGGATCGATGTACGTAGTAAAAGTCGTAAATCTTAAGGGCATAACAGTCCAAACAAAAACCAGAGGGGCAGAACAAAGGTACAATTTGTGTATTTGTGTGTGTTAACCAAGAATAACCACAAAGCAGAAGAGCATAACTCACACTGTGAAAAAGTAGAAGTGCGTTAGATAACTTATGCACCAAGGAGTAGATGAAACCTAAGAGTCGCTCAGGGTGAATTTTTGATTGCAGGATTATTAAAAACTGAGGAGTTGTCGCATGTCTCTTAAATTTCTGGCATGCTATGAATTCTATAAAACAATTAATTTACAAATAGTTCATCTTACCAAATACTTTTTGAGAAACTACTAACACAAGCACCCAACATCTAAATGTTCGACAAAGTTTGCAACTTTAGAGGGAGGGTGAATAGAGTTGTGGTCAAAGCGTTTTTCGCGTGTGTGATATAATGAGAAATTAAACACAGAAATAAAGTAAAGAGTAGAGAGGAAGAAGAACACTGCAATGTACACTGGTTCATTACCTCGTGACTAATCTAGTCCTCCGAGAGACTCTCTCAAAGGTCCTACTAACTTTTAAACTTCAATCAGTGCTTGAAAAATCTTTTACAAATTGAGAACTTGAATCTCACAAGCCTCAACACTTTACAAGAAGACTTGCGTCACACAAGCCCTAGCAACCACAAACTTAGAGAAGTAACTTCAAGTTTGGAAGAACACAACAACAACACAAGAATGAAAGGCTCACACAATGAGCAAGTAGTGTTTAAAGATGTAAGCTCTATTGGATGACCAAGTATTTGCACTCAAGAAAATATTTCTATGCTCTCAAAAATATTTATCTTATGAAGAAGATTGGTAGAGCAAGAGATATGGAATCAAAGAGGAGTTTAGAGTGCTTAGAATTAATATTGAATAAGGTAGATGAGGGTTTATATAGGACTCAAAGGAATATGTCCGTTACACCAAGAGAAAAGACGTTGTTGATGAAAGAATGGGTTAAAAATCAATTTTACAAGCTCAAAAACTCAATTTTGAACTACTGGAAAATCAAGCTTGGGCAAAGCGCAAGACGAAAATCAATTTTTCACTAAAGCAAAAATCGATTTTGAGCTACTGGGAGTGAGGCAAGATTAAAAAATTGATTTTCATAAATACAAAAATAAATTTCTGAAACCTGGTTTCAGACCGTTGCGTTCCAGGCTCAAGAAATCAATTTTCATTCATAGAAAATCGATTTCTGTAGCAAATAATGCACAGACATGATAAACAAGAGCATGTGCACAGGAATAAGGTATATTTATCAATTTATGCTTGTTTACCACATGATAATGTAGTGATTTGATGCTCCAATTACCTAAATTATGTTAATATTCAAATTTTGAAAATTAAAAGTAATTGGGTGTAGAAAACGAGTCCCAAAAATATTGTGTGTCAAACGATGTACAAGAAAAATATTTTAAAAGATATTTTTCTTTACCAAAAAAATGTATATCCAAAACAAATGTTTTAAGAAAATATGACTCACATTTTGTAACTGACTCAATAAAAAAAAAATTACGAGAGAAAAATTTATTTTTCAACTGACTCTAAAAGTAAATTAATTTTTATATAATATTTGTTTGAGGGAAAGATATTTTGTCATCTTTACGTTTATTCCTAACTCAATGAAATAAAAAGTTTCAAAGGAATCTTCACTTTACATTTGCATAGGGATTCTTCGTTAAATAAACGCTTTTATTTTTTGATACGCCTCTTTGCTTTCTTTAATTCAAAGTAAAATTACATTTGTCGTTGTGTTTGTCATTTATCAAAATCTGAAAATAACATCAAAAAAATATGTACAAAGGGGTTTGAACTTATGTCCAACACTAAATGTTGTGAGTAGACATTATATAGATGGAAGGAAAGTTTGATAGTTGAGGAAAAAGGAGTATGCCATGTATTGAGGGATTGATCATAACATTTTATAGATTAAAAAGCATTGATGGAGTATGTAGTTATTAGTTTTATTTTAGAGTTCATATGCATGGAACTTAAAACCTAATTATCAGCTATTTTGATTTCTGTCCTTTTTTATAATAAATAACCAAAAACTTATGAATAATAAATCAATGCTAAACTATCAATTTTGCAACTGAAAATCACAACATTCACAAGCTTCAAACAGAAAGAGGGGTGATAAAGGAGTGTTTTCAGAGTATTTATATTTCAATTAGTATTGTATTATGGTTATTGATTAAATTTGAAATAACATGAATGAAATGAATGCACTTAAATTTATTAATTCATATTAAAGTTGTAATGTAGTTAATCTCCCCTAATTTCGTAAGAGCCTAACTCGGTTAGATAGTCTTTTTTCCGTTCTTTTTTCCGTTTTATTTAATGCCCAAGTAGCGTTCCCAGCTTCTTTCAATTAGTACGAACAATTAAAGAGTTGGTGTATGGTACATCCGGATGTACCCAGAAATAGGTACATCGCGGTAGTACTTGTTCTGAAATTAAGTAGTACTCATTCTCGTACAAACATAAATATTCATTTCGAAATACGTAGTACTCATTCTGGCAAAAGTAGTACTCATTTTAAAATAAAGAAGTACTCATTTTTACACATTTGTCTAATATAATTATAATAATAGCGTAGTGTTCATTCTTAAAAAAACAATACTCATTCTCAAATAAGGAAATGTTCATTCTAAAATAAAGTATTGTTCAATTTTTTCACAATTAAAAAGTTCAGTATCATCATCAACTTCTTCTTCTATTCGATTCGTTCCTAGTCATTTATACTCTCTAAGCATGGAGAATTTAAAACCCAGGTTTATTCATATTTGTATTGAATAAGAATATGATAATTCTCATAAGTGTTGGTACTCCTTCTCAAATCTACTGGTACTTATTGTCATATATAATAGTTCTCATATATGTTCTGGGCATTGGATAAAAATTTTGCAAAATTTACAAAAATATCAGGATGTACCTAAAGGAAGGTACAGCTGCATGTACCATATAATTTGCCACAATTAAAGGCTATTAGTCACCCACCGCCTCACGCCTATGCCTTCTTCGCCGTCTTAGTCGACCGCCTCACCACTACGCCTTCTTCGCTGTCATCGCCCCACTACCGACTATTACTCTCATATATCTTCCCTGGGATTGCATTCGCCTCTTCTATCACCTTCCTCTAAATCGAAATTGGTCAGATTCTTTCGTCAACTTCTAGGTAAACCTGCCTTTTATTTTCCAGATTTGCTGCACTATTTTCGTTAGGGATAGCTCAGCTGAGAGGTTATCCTATTTCTAGATTTTGCTGCACCAAATCCTGAACTTTCTTTTCCGTATTGTGTTATTTACGGTTTCAATTGTTCTCAATTTTTTTATGAGCACACAATTAAAACTTGATTTAGAGTAATTTTCTAATTATGAATTGATTAAAAACTTGTTTTATTATTACCCATCTGTGACCATCAAGTGGTTTGATTCTGTGATTGGAAACGAAAATGAATGAAATTATGTTCAAAGAGTATCTTTGTTCACTTGTAATTACAATTCTTCACTTTTACTACCTATCTGAATGATTAAATTAATTATGCATATTTGGATTATGGTATTACTCCAAATATTGCAAGGAAGGAAAACAAAAAGAAATTTTGTATTCTTTATTGGTTCAGAATGAATCAGCCCTTTCATGCATTTCATATAATTAATCCCCTTAGAACAAGTCCACTTGGAAACATTGAATTCCATGCGCAATGAGTGTTGTTTCATTGCCAAAGTCATTGAACTTTTCTTGCTCTGAGATGTATAACCACATGTCCTATTAAAGAACATTGAGCAGAAATGGTTACAGAAAAAGTGAAAAAGAATCCTGAATAATCCGCAACTCCAAATTAGCTTCCCACTCTCTTTTTCTATGTCTCAAAATTATATTATCACTTTCTGTTAGGAAAAGGATTGTACGATTGATAATTTTACATTCATTTCAAAATAAATCTAAGCTACTTAATTTAATTTTATCGATATACATGTCAAATGGTAAGCTAATAAACATGAGGGAGTTTTTTTCCTTTCCTTTTCCTTAATGGAGTTGTCTATTCAGGGAATTGAAAGGATAACAGCTTCATTGATTCTGTGTTTGGTTCAGATTTAAAAAAAACAAACCCAATGTTTTGTTTTGCTCTTTTCTTTGAGTTACACTCCAACTCTCCCAAAAACAACCTCTTACTATTCAAGGGTCACCATTTTTAACAAGGTCACTCCAAAAAAAAAGAACTATCATTTAAATTAATTTTCATATGCCAAAACAGGTAGTCCCAACAGTCAAATGCTGTAGAGGTCATTAGTGAACACTATAGCCACTTCCAAAGCAGGATCTAATTAGGAAAGAAATGCCAATACCACAACAGCACAAATAACTTTGGATGGATTACCAAGTCCTTGAAGCAAAACATCTCTCTCCACCCATGTGATTAATTAAAGCAGAAAACTGGTCCATTACAAGCCTGTCCTACATTATAAATCTTCCGAACTCATAAAAATGTTCTTTTAGAAAACATGAGGCACCCCCACTCTATTGGTTTACCTCAACCCTTGGGGTCTGTTTGGAAGTTGGGTTTTGGAGAGCATTAGAGGGGATTGTGGTTCACACTACACAGAGTTATTTGTATACTTAGCCCTTAGATTATAAGGCCCTTATACATTTTGTTCCTCCCTTTGAAAAAAAATTTAGCAAAATAAAAAAGGGACTCGAACAAAGAAAAAAATCCTATTGAACAAGAGGTCTCACTCCTTTTCTACAACTCCTCACTGCGAAGCCATATGTTTTGACTAATTCCTGTAAAAAATCTGTTTTCGATTCAAACCATTTATCTATGTTGAACTATACTTCAAACCATCACTCCTTTTGTATAATATTAACACACTTCTACTGTAGTAATGACATATATATCTGGGCACACACACACGAAGTGTGTCCCATGCTAGTATAATTATAAAAAGACAATGATTAAAGTTAGAGAGATATTCTAGTTCAGTTAATTTTTCTTTTTCCTTTTTTTGGGGGAGGGATGTGGGGTTTGAACCCTTAGTTGGGGAAAGGGGAGGGGGAACCATCAAGCTATTCCCACACCATCCTAGAGAAGTATTATTTTTTTAATTTTATAAAACAATTAATTTACAAATAGTTCATCTTACCAAATACTTTTTTTTCCAAAAAAACTAACACAAACATCCAACATCTAATTGTGGTAAGTGGACATTATATAGATGGAAGGAAATTTTGATAGTTGAGAAAAAGGAGTATTCCATGTATTGAGGGATTGATGATAACACTTAACAGAATAACAAGTATTGATGGAGTATGCAATTACTATATTTATTGTTGGGTTCATATGCATAGATATTAAAACTTAATTATCAGCTTTTTTATGTTGTTCTGGTCAAGGGTTCAAGAGCACAAAAAATGGTGTCGCCATCAAGGGATCAAGTTCTCTGTCTCTTCCGGTCACTGCTAAGGGCAGCTCGTGACTTTCCAGACTACAACATACGTGAATACACAAAGCGCCGGACCATTGACTCCTTTCGGCAACAAAAAGCCCTCTCAGACTCTTCTCAAGTCGCCGCAGCCTTCTCTGATGGCAAGGCACAGCTCGAGACTGCCAAACGCCAGGCCCTTGTCTATGGTCTCTATGCCCCCAAGATGAAGAGTGTTATGGAACTAAACCACTGACTCTGAGTATGATTTCTTTTTTTCATGCTCTTGTTATTATGGGTTCCTAATCTGAGATGAGATTATCTCTGTGCATTTGAAATAAGTTGGGCTCTTTTGATTTTTGATGCATATTTATTGATCCCGGGTTAATTTGCTCTTTTATTTGCGGTAGTTGGAACAAGTTTTGGGTCTTCATATTATTCAGAGTTGTGTTTGTACTTCCTGTGAGTTGTGCAAATAATATTACTCTCAAGAAGGCTCATTACCTTTTATGTGTTTTCTATTCTACTCATTTTCCTTCAAAAGAACGTTCATTCTAAAGTGAGAGTTGCTCATTTTTCTTTTGAAGAATGTTCATACATAAATGTTGGATGTACAATAATCACGGGACATCTTGATGCGCTAAATACCCAGTGCTTTGATGCCTATGGGTTGTGTTTTTCTTAAATGGAACAAAACAACATTCTTTTTTTTGGTGTAAACGAAAGCCACTAAGCTGTCTTTACTGTAAATGTCTGTTTGCCAATAACTTTGCCATGTTCATTTGGATGTTAATTGCCAATAACTTGGCCATGTTCATTTGAGAGATGTTTATTCGGTAAAATGGAAGTGGCATTCATTTTGGATTTTAGATGTTCATTTGGATGTTAATTTTGCTGCATTACTTGCAGGCACTTCATTTTGGCGTAGCTGTGGGTTCATTTCCAGAATGATGTGATGAAACACTACTTTCCCCTTGGATGTATCTGCACTTTTTCCCCATATGTTCATGTGATATTTCTACCTGCATTACTTCCATTCAAATCCCAATACATTGTCCATAATCATCATCAATGAATTGTCACTTTATGGAGTAGAAAATTATTATTTTTGTACATCAATCGGTGTACCCCATGTCGTACACCGTCCAATATTTTTGTACCCATCGACAAAAACATAGTTTTACAATGTTCATGAGAGTGATCAAAGACATTGCACAAACAACTTTTGTCGATATGGAAACAAAAAAGCTTGCAGCGGACACTTTTCTGAATCGAAATTGATATGGAAATAAATGCCCTCTTCCTCCAAAGAAAGAGGTGGGTTTGATGTTCTTGTATATACTTTGCGTGTTTGATACTCTTGTATATCCTTACTAGGGGCGGACACGATTCCGAATCGAAATCGATATTGAAACTGTACCGGTTGGATGGCGATAGAGTATTACACCAGGGACAGTTGTGGGTTATTGTTCCGGTTCTGGTTTTAACATTTTGGAATAGAAATCGGCGATTCTGGTTCCGGTTTAATTTTTGTGATAGTTTGATTCACAACTTTTTCTTGTACAATTCTCTTGCATAAATCAACAAATGAGTGATGAAGGCACTATAGCTCTAAGTTTTAAATCAAATGCAATATTGTGTTCATTGTCCTACACTATATCCCATAGTTTAAGGATTGCCTCGTATGAGTCTAACACTATATTTTGTTCAAGGAATTTGAGGGGGAAATAAAAAAAAATGATATGAAAAATAGTTTTTCATTTTAGGTTGGAAAGGAAAAGTGGAAGAAAAATAAAATTAGAAGAAAAAATATGCCAAAAAATTACTCTAACGACTAAGTCTGACATGATTTGTTTTAATTTCAACTTATATACGGAGTAGAAAATAGGTTAAAATATATGATATGATGAATATATTGGTAAAAAAACAAATCAATTTTAAAAAAATGCTATTAGCCGTCTAGAAGGGACATTGGTGTATGATTTTGAAGCTAGGATAGAGAAAAAAGTCCAAGTTTACAGGGAAAAAAATAAGCATCAAATATTAGAAAGAGTGCAAAGAAAATGTGAACAAATATTATACAGCAGTAGTTGAATGAATGAAAATAAGCAAAACATTGAGAAATCAAGAAGGTTAAATTCCCATGCAGCATAACAATATAAGCGTGGCATCAAGGGATTAATTAGGAGTGTTCATTGGGGGCCTACTTCCCGAGCAGACGACGACCTCGAACGTTGGCATCTTTCACTCTGTAGTTGAGCTCGTCGATGTCATCGTGGAAATGGTCCAGTGCTTTATTCCCCCTGCAAATGCCCACATGCATTCTCTCATCAGCAGAGGGCAAAAGAGACTACTCAGATAAAGGGATCAATGCAAATCATAGTGTGCAGAGTACATCTGATTGTGTATATACACAAGGGGCATTTTTGTACATTTTGAATAAAATACTCATTATTTTTCCAGATAAGTTTTCTTTATTCATCCTTTAACTTGTGAAAATTGCTCATTTTTCATTTGAAAGAGTACCACACACACACACACACATTTCACATTTTCTTCCCCATCCATCACAAGATTCACACTTAACCTTTTCCTATTTTTCATGGTAATAAGTACCTCATTTTTATCCCCACTCGATAAATTTCAATCATACACTTTATAGTTCAAAACTATTTTTAAATTGTGAAATAAAAAGATCAAATTTATTTCACGACAGATGGGGAAGAAAAATGTGAAATTCATTTTTGGATTCAAAAACTGGTTGGAAATAGTGTTTTCAAGTCGGGTCTTGGATCTGAAACCAACTTGAAGGGTGAAAGCTTGTCAAGTCTAATAGCTACTTGAAGGGTGAAGAGAAACAACTGAAAGTACCTTTCAATTTCAGAGCCCATGTCAATGGCCATTTCCTTGAGCTCCCCCAAGAGATTACTCAGATCAGACAGTGCATCATCTTGTTTTGCCTTTTCCACCTGTTTAATTTTAACCCCAGTTTAAGAAATCATATTAACAGCATTATCCAACATCTGCATCTATATGTAATTTGCATACAGAATACCATCTCAACAAGCACTGTGACATCAGTCACGCTAAACATTAGAAAAAGAAAAAAAAAACGATGGCCATGCCAAACATGGGAAAATTGGGAATACAATTTTCATTTCATTGTAAGGTGTTGGGAATAGGATATCATAAGGACTAAGTAGCATGAGAGCTGTAAAAGCTGAAACAACTTTATAAAAGATGTTGGACATGAAGTTTTTGAAAAGCGTTCATCACTTGAGTCATCATGATGACATAATTGGGAATTTTCCTATTAATAAGAAGAAACATTCTAACTGTATTTCGACTTCTTTCACATGGTATTAGAGCCATTTATAGTTTCGGCGTGAATATATCGTTTTGGCGTGTATAGTGTCTTTTCCGGAATTTGATTAAAAAAACTACTCCAACATGGAGCAACAGATCAAGGATGAATTAAAAAATGATAAATCTTCTAAGACGCTATGTTGGGTTTGAGGAATTAGGAAGGGAGGGAAAAGAAAAACGGTTTCTCTCCTTTTCTTCACCAAAATGAATGGAAATTTGTTTTCCTTCTTTGTGTAGTTTTGCCTCCCAATTTTTCTTTTCCTTCCACTGCTCTATTCCTCTATCAAACAAGAAAACTAGTTTCCACATCAGTTTCTTTTCTTTTCTCTATCAAAATTCTTGAACCAAACATAATGTAAAGGAATAGCAACAAGCCAACAACAATTCACAAAATAAAGCCGTATCATAAAGCAACAAACAGTTACCTCTACTTTCTGCAATGCATTAGTTGGTTCAGGGAGGGATGGTTGAGTTTTTGAGTGCCCTCTGGGAGCAGAATTTAATCCCAGTTTCTCTCTCTGATCCAAGTGATTCCCCTTCCTATATACTGCATCATCTACAAAACCCCAAAAGATAGTCACCAATTAGCACATAAAACCGTCTCTCCCCATCCTCATAAAAAACCTACTTTTACACCCCAAAAGAGGCAATCCCATTTTGTGCATCCATAATTTCATGCTTTTGTAAAGTAGATTAGAGAGAACTAACCTCTAGTGATAATAGGGCCTGTTATTGGATGATTCTTCTTAGGTTTCCAAGTTTTGGAAAATAAGCCTCCAAGACTACCCAAAAGTTTTTCACCCTAAATAAATATCAAACTTCAGTCAGCTATCGAATAGTAAGAAAGAGATTCCATTAAGAAAATAATTCAGGGAACCATATCAAAAGATGGTATAAATAATGCAAGCCTTGAGAACAGATGTATACACAATTAAATCCAGTATATCATTTCAGTGAACATGAATTAGCTCATTTTATGCAATCTACTCTATGAAGTTGAGCATCTCCATTTATGGAAAAAATCAAATACTGAACAGAAGCAGCCTTTTTAATGCATAGATAATTTTCTTTGACAGAGAAATAAAATAAGAAACTAACTTTATATCAGTTCAATAGTTCACCTTGGCCCATCCGCTAGTCTAACACTCAAAGAAACAATGGCTATAAAGAATCAAAGAAATAAGCATTGATACTAATAGCAGGAGAACCTTTATCAACTTTCAATCTTAAAGTTATAACAGTAATACGAGAGAATTCAATATTACATCTAGAATGACAAAAAACATCAAAACATCCTACTTTGAACCATCACAAACCAAAGGAAGAAACAGAGGGAACAAAATTGGCGTAGGCTGGTTAGAATGAAAGACCCTTAAAAAAATCGATCAAATATCCAGACACATCACAGTAAAAGCATGGATTGAGTATATAGAACTATACCCTGCTAAGATCATTGTCAATTTCAGCAGCAGTCATGTGAGTTCTAGTAATTTGCTCGCCCTGCTGGTGTAGGGTGATTAAGGTTTTAGTTGCATCCCCCCTCATTTCTTCTGCAATCTTCAAGCAACCATGAACGGCTTTTGTAGTTTCTTCTGCCTTGTACACAGCATAGTTTTCCAGTTCTTGTACAGACTGACTCTCGAATCCTCCCGAGTCACGAAAACCATTTTTGTACCTGCTTCTGTCAGTTGATGTATAGGAGTATGCAGATGATGGTTTCCCTTTAGTCTCATCAGAATCATCATCAAAAGGGTTAGTACTCAAGTTTGCGGCAATAATAGCAGGCTCTGAAGAACTTCTTGGGGGTTTAACATTTTGCTTCGGATCGTTCTCATCATCAGAGTCGAATGGGTTTGAAGTAGGAGGTGTGGAAAATCCATGATCAACGGATTGGTTCTTAGAAATCCTGTGCAAAGGGGACTTCTTGAGACCAAACATTTTGTCGTGGAATGGAAAAATTCAGGAAGTCAGAAATAACTGCTACTGCCACCGAAGAGACTAGATCTGTATGAAGCACACAAACTAACAAGATCAAACTCAGATCATCAGAGGAAAGCTGGCAGGAGAAGCATAAGCAAAAGAGTCAAGGAATTTGAAGAATTAAGGACTGTTTGGATGGGGGTAGAAGGGGATTAATAAATGGAAGGGTAAAAACACTGTATGAAGATCAAAGTTATTGGAAGCATACAAGAACCCTAAGTTACCAGTTAAAATTAGACCCGAACCCCCTTCCGAAAAAGGAAAGCAAAAGCCCAAGAAGCTAACATACCAACTCTTAAAAAAAGTGGACTCATCGGCTGAATAAGGTAATTAACAAAATAAAAACCCATTGCAAAAACAAGAGAACCTTCAACAAAATACTTCAAAACACATCCATAGATGCATGAAAATTTAGCTACCCAGAAAAGAACTAAACAAATCAGACACAGTATTGATGCCAGATCAGGCAAATATAGCATAAACAAATCAGGAAAGTAAACATGAAGAATCCTATGAGAGTAACCCAGACTTTGTGCTGCTTACCAAGAAAACCAATTAATTAACACAACAAAACGCCCAGAATCTTGAGATGGAGAAAATCTAGAAAGAGTTTGAATGACCGGACTGAGGGCATGGAATTCCGATATTATTTATACTACAATGACTGGATGATCGTCAAGGGAAACGACTCAAGAGAACTTGTAGGTGAATGCCCGTAATTAATTGTTTGAGGGCTTTGAATTTATCAAGATAAGAAGAAAGAAATATGGGTATATACGAGTGCGGAGCATATGAGAAAATGCTGCTAGGATATTGGGAAAGTTGAAAAAATCAAAAACAAGTAGAAGAGGGGCGCGTGAAGGGGAGAAGACTTTTGAATTTAAAGACCCTCTGACGGAAATTAGACCGTTCCATGTCGGGCTTATATAACGAATGATAGGTAGGACTTAGGAGTTAGACGAATTCCTAATCTAATTTGAATAAATTCGGTTATATTTAAAATTCTATTTAATTTGATCTAATTTCAATAAGAATAAGTTGAATACATAATTTATTTTCAAAATAAAAGTTTATCTTTTTTTCTTTAAAATAAGAGTTTACAATGTAACACCATGACATTGTATAGTGACATTCTATTGCGTTTTTTTGGTATGATATACTAATATTATTGATATTGTAAATTTTATTTTGGGGATAAAAAAATGCAACTCTTATTTTAATATTTTCTCCATGTCGTACTCATAATTTAGTTCTTTTTCCCAAAAGTTTTATAAACGACCCCTTATTAGAGCTGGCAAAATCGGTCAGATCGGGTTCAGGTTCGGTCACTTCGAGTTCGAGTTATTTCTGGTTCCGGTCAATTCAGGTTCAGGTTGAGAACAGTATGTTCATGACCCGGTGTCATCGGGTTCAGGTTGACCCAACGGGTTATGACTTGGGTTTTTTAAAATTTTAAAATTCACATTAACACTTACCTTTTCTATTAAATAAATTTAAAATATCAAAAAATATGTATTAAATCTATTAGATTATTCTATTTTAAATCCTGAAAAATTTTTTAGATATACAAATCAATATAAGGAATTTAAAAAATGCTTAAGTTTTAGAAAAAAGTAAGATAATTATGTAATATCATTAAAATTTTATCTAAAAATATAAATTTATACATTAAAAAGGAGTAGTAAAGTGTATAATTTAGAAAAACTCTTACTTTAGTGGGTCGCTCGGGTCGGGTTTGACCTATTTTTAGCAGGTCATTTTGGGTTCGGTCAACCTGGGTTCGGTCATCAAAACCTTTGTTCAAAACCCATTGTTTTCAGGTTGGATTTCGGGTCAAAAACAGGTCGGGTCATTTTTTGCTGGGTCTACCCTTTATCATAACACTCCAACCCGCATGACTTGAACCAACGAGTTAGTAAATCGGTTGCTACTAATTTGGTATTCACATGCACAATATTTTGAAAAAGACTAAAGTAGAAGTAAAGTATTGAAAATATACGAAAATAAGAGTATGTTCTATTTTTTATTCTCGAAATAGGAGTAAGGATACATATATAATGTCAATCATGACCATATATATTACCAAAAAGTATTGTGAAATATCTATATATAGTGTCACACTACTACAGTGCAAATTTCTACTTTGGAGATGAAAATGCAGATTTCTTATTTTGGTACTTTCTCTATGTTTCACTCCTTTATATGGTGATTTCTTTAATAATAAGTAATAAGAATAAGTTGAAGAAACAAGCTCTTACTCCCTCGTCCAGAAAACAGTTCTCATTGTACTTTACGATGTTTAATTGAAATTATCTTTAATTTAATTTATCTCAAAATTGGTATAGAAAAAATATAGAAATTACATATTTAAGAACTACGTAGTACATCATAAGATTTACAAAACAAAAGGAGACATGATTCTATTATTTTTTCAAATGAGTAACAAAAATAGGTAAAAAAAAAGTAGTTAAAATTTAACCGTGTGAATATTGTACGGAAACTTATTTTCCCGAAAGAGGGAGTATATCATTACTATCATGTAAAAAAATTTAAGAAAGAACCCTCCATATAATATATTTCCTCAAATAAGATTTTCATGTTTTTTATTTTCGGAATAGGAATTTATACTCTAACATCATGACACTGCATAGTGACATCACACTCTCTTTTTTGGTATTATATACTGGTGACATTGTAACTCCTATTTTGAGAATAAAAAACATTGAGCTCTTATTTTACTATTTTTCTATGTTTTACTCTTAGTTTAGTCTTTTTCCTAAATATTTTATAAGCGATCCTCTATATTAGGATATTTTCATATATAATCCTCTATCTTAAAAATTTGCATTTGTTGTTCTCGATATTTGAGAATTATTTCATAATTAGTCCTTTCAAAACTATTTACGGTATTTAAGTCAAATGACTTATTTTCAAATAACTTTTAAATATTAATTTCTTAGAACCATGGATTATATGTGGAAAATGTCATGTTATAAGATATCATTTATGAAATTTACTCCAAAATATTACACACTTTTGTCCCTTTGGTTTTTCTCATTTTAATTTTCATGATTTCTAATGCAATACTTTAATCATTAATATATTTATTTAAATATAAATATATATTATAAAAATATAATATTTCAAAACCATATTTCTAAATGAACATATTCCTATTGAATTTATATATCACAATTCACTTTACTTTTTCATAATTTATGGTCAAAGCTATAAAATATTGACCAAGAAAAGTCAAATGAGAAAAACATAAAAGAATGGAGTGAGTACTTCGTAAAACTCTTTTGATATTATCAATATCATAGGATGATATTTGTATTTACGGTGCTCCATTGAGTCCAAAAGTAATATCTACCCCAATCTCTCCCTCCCATTGCCCCATTCTAAAATGCTAAAATTAGGGGTGTAAACGGATAATATCCGTGACGGATATGGCATATCCGAATCCGTATCCGTTTAAGTTTAGGAATATCCGAATCCGTATCCGTATCCGTTTCCGGCGGATATTTACTATACAATATCCGAATCCATATCCGACGGATAATTATCAGTTTCGGATATATCCGAATCCGATTAGATATCCGAAAGTAACCGAATATCCAAATCCGATTAGATATCCGAAAGTAACCAAATCCGAAAATATCCGAGTCCATTTTCACCCACTTCACGGAGATTGTGGAGATGGATTTTCGCCTAATTCACTGATGGATTCACCCCGGTGACTTGTGTTGATACTTCGATCGATTCACAATACTGGTTCAGCAAAGAGCATCGTCGATTGATGTTTGGGCTTGACTTCGATCGATTTTGGGATTGACTTGGAATGAGATTTTAGATCTGGAATCTCAATCAAACGGAAGAGGGGCTGAAGGCGGAGGGGAATCGCCGAATTGGGAAAAAGAATTACGGAAGAGGGGTTGACCTAAGGTTAACATGTTTTGATTTTTGAAGTAGGTTTTTTCCTTTTTTTCTTAAAAAATTTCTTTGTGGTTTTTTCTTTTTTTACATGGTACGGTAACATATTGGGAATTAACAAATAAATTAGTAATGGTAAACTATGTAAATACTTGATACTAGGATTATATTTTTTCAAAAAATTATTCGGTATTCGGATAAACGGATATTGATAAATGGTTATTTAAACGGATGTATATTCGAATCGGATTTTAAACGGATCGGATATACAATTACCATATCCGTATCCGTTTAGTAATCGGATACCTTTAATCGGATACGGATAATATTCGTTTAAAAAGGATACGGATATTCCCTCTTTAAACGGATACGGATGCGAACGGTAAAAGGATTTTCGGCTATCCGTTGACAGCCCTAGCTAAAATACTACAATAACACTGTAGCATTTTGACAATTCAGACAAGGTTAGTAGGGGATGGAGTGGAATTTTGGGAGTTAGAAACTACTTTTGGGCCTAATTAAGCATCGTGAGTACTTGATGTCATCTCATAACATTAACATGAGAACTTTATCAGTAGAGCTGGCAAATCGATCGGTCAGGTCGGGTTCGGGTTCGGTCACTTCAATTTCGGGTTATTTCGGGTTCGGGTTATTTCGGTTTCAGGTTGACCCAACGGGTTATGACTTTGGTTTTTTATATTTTTAAATTCACATTAACACTTACATTTTGTATTAAATAAATTTAAAATATCAAAATATATGCATTAAATCTATTAGATTGTTTTATTTTAAACTTTGAAGCATTTTTTTGATATATAAATCAATATAAGGAATTTAAAAAATGCTCAAGTTTTAGAAAGAAGTAAAATAATTATGCAATATCATTAAAATTTTGTTTGAAAATATAAATTTATACACTAAAAACGAGTAGTAAAGTGTATGATTTTGAAAAACTCTTACTTTAGTGGGTCAGTCAGGTCGGGTTCGGGTTCGGTCGGGTTCATTCACTAGCGACAAGGACAACTTGAGGGATTGGTCTCAACTATTCATGGACCGAGACTCTAAACCTTTCGATTACCACTCATCGAGCAAGTACCTTTGTAGCTCATGAATGGTCCTAGTTTAAGGTAGAAGGAGTGTAACACCCTAATCCGTTCAGGTCTGCGTCCTCTTTTAGACTAAAGTATTAACTTGGTAATCGTAAATATTAAAAACATTTCAACCATTTCAAATTTTATTTCATAATATAATATTCATTACAGAAATAGTAACAGAGTTTTCAAAGTTGCAAAGCGTAATTATAATATGTCACATCACCATTACAATTAATCAATTTATGTCTTTTGAAATAATAATTCAAAATCATCGCATCCGTCCCGACAAATCTCCCCTATGGCTGCCGCTAGGATCATGTTACATCATTCTTGAATCTCAATTAATAATCAAATCATTTGATATCATGCACATAATATTCATTTCAGTTATTCAGTATAAATCATATCAGATCATTTGATATCAAACACATGTTATTCAATTCAAATATTAAATATTCAGTATATTAACAGTGTTCTTCAACTATTCTTAGTCTAAGGCCAAATCATAACAATGCTCTTAAACTTATTCTTGGTCTAAGGCCAAATTCATAATGATAACTAAGCTCTTAAACTATAATTAATCTAAGACAATATTTCAAACCGGACTCTTAAACTATATATTAGTTTAAGGCAGAACACAAGAACCAATGATCCATCCTACGAGTCTTATAGATCACGCTCAAAACCGAACAGCGGACTAGTCACCGTCAGGTTAAGTGGTACCCCCAAACGAGTCAGTACTCAAGTTTGGTTTGTGGATCTCGTACATATGTTTAACCCTGGCCACCAGGGTCATGCCCGCAAGGCCTAACTAAATTGGTCACATGGATATATCTTAGAGTTCTTCTAGATAGCATTATTCATTCATAATCATCGTTTAATCAGGATATTCATACAAACATATTCAATCACAACTATTCTTAAGGTTTATTTATTCAAAAAAATATTTTGATATTTTGTCGAGATAAGATCGTCATCATTATATGATCATAGTCACATAAGACATCATTTTAATAATCATAATCAATATTTAATAAAAATAATTTTCAACATCATTTCATTATGGTATATTCATCATTAAATCATAATCAACAATAATCATCATAATACTTTACAACAACTAGAGGCCTAGCATCGGGTGTTAACACCCTAGCTTACCCGCATGCATCATACAAGGTTCTTGATTTTGTCAAAACATCAGATTTAATTATGGAAATCATTTTCAGATTGATCATAATTCAATGGTATCAAAAATAGGATTTTATAGCTTCAAAATTCAGATTTTTTCCACTAAAAATGTTCGGGACGGTCGACTGTTATCGTCGGACAGTCGACCGCTTCCGCTACCGTTATTGGTTAGGAAACTGGGCCATGTCTACAATTCTGAAGGTAGCTGGTTACCATACGGTAGACCGTGGCGGGACAGACGACTATCTGAACTGTTCTTAGCTACCGTGACGGTGGTAGCTTGTTACCGGGCAATCGTGTTTACTGTTCATCGTCTTCTTCCTCGGGTTCATTTTCAAAAACATCATTTTAAGTCACCAAACCTCAATTGAACTATATAGAAATGTTCTCCAAGATTCATAGATCATTTTGGTATCAATAATTTGATGTTTTAACAACAAATTCAAGGTTTATGATTTTGGTTCGTCAAGCAGGTCAAACACAAAACTCAACCAAACGATTGTATATGAACGTAAAAATGATCTATATAAACATTCTAATCATTAGATATATATCTAAGGGATTACCTCAGGCTAAAAGGGAGGTTTTGGAAATTTTCTGGTGTAGCTTCCAACAACGATTACTCCCAACTCCAGCAATCTCAAGCTCTCCGGCCAGCACCATTGCACTCCTCACTCAACAAAAAATAATAGAAGAAGAAATTGAATGAATTGGTGAGAAATTGAGAAAGTTAAAGTGGGCTGATGTAGGGAAGAAGAGGAAGAAGCTGCCAACGGGTCATTCATAATGCGCATGACAGCGATTCCCTGGGATTTACACGCCTCTCCCTGATTAGGACTAATTTAGTTCCAGTCTCGACACACTTTTTGGTCCAGCTTTCTCTGATTAAAATCTATTTGTACCATTGCGCTTAGATAGTCAAACTCTATCTAACAATATAATTTTTATATTTAATTGTAATACTTTTTCTGACAACTTTTGGGTTTTTTACGAATCAAAATTGATTTAATTAATATTTTATTCAAAAGTTTTTCATATTCTTTATTCTCGTGATTTATTTCAACAAATCCTCTCAAAAGTTCACATCATAAGTCAAATTCTTTGTTTAATCTTGATTTAGATCTGTACTCTGGTCCCTAATCAAGATTACACATAAAGTTTGCATTTTGGATTTATTTCCACGAGATTTATCCAATTTGTGATATCGGAACATATTTCATTTTGGCCCAAAGCCTAAACAATAATTTATTTTAATCAAAACAAATTTGTTTAATTGAATAATAATTCAACAATATATTTAGGGTGTGCTTTGGGGTGTTACAAGGAGTCAAGGTTAGGCTTGGGGTATGCCTATCCCAAGGTTCTTTCTCTGTATTAGCTAGCATCTTCATCAATGTTGTTGCTTGTTCTCTCTCTCTCTCTCGATGAGTTTCTTACTCCTGGCAGAGCATTTTGAGATTGGCACTCGCACCCAATACTTCCAAGGTGTTAACTAATCTTTTAGCTAAATAAAAAACCCACATTTGGTAGGAGTTTTACTAGGTAGAAATCTCTATTTGTTAAGATAGGTTTATTTTATTTAAACTTCTATAGTTGCTACAATTTTTTAGGTTGACACAAAAGATGCTACAACACAATGCTGCAACACATTGTATGGGATCAGAAGTCTATGCACGGGATTTTAAGTTGTGATCCACAATTTTCAGAATTAGAGACTTATTGGGATCAAATTATAATAAATCAAGCTGGTATTTAGAAGACTTTAGGCTACTTGTGTATCAAGATTAAAGTTGTATTCAAGATAACTTCTACTAACATATTCATACTAACATTGTGTTTCGAGAAGCCTATAAAAATGCAACAGATCCCTGCAAATTTCTTGGAGCGATTGAGAGGGAAAAATGCAGAATAGACGCTCATGTAGAGCATTCCGTCACGTCTTGGAGCTTCCCTTGCGTGAAAAAGTTACAATCTACATGAAGAAGGAGTCCTACAATGAAAAATATATCGTGACAACCAGGAGATGAACCAGAGCTTAAGGAGATGGTTGCCAACACGTTTGTCCTTGTGATATCGGTGGAGATGTGATAGCCAAAGTGGATCTCAATAGGGTTTGGGTTAGAAATTCTAGATAAGAAGTTTTGTCATAACGATTTGGAGAAGCGTGTCTTATCATGTTGTTATGTAATGGTGTAACTTGCATCTAGTGATTTAGTGCAAGGCTATTACACGAACATGGGCCTCACAGATTAGGAGAGTTTCTCCAAACTGCGTAAACGTATCAGGCGTTCTTCTTTACATTATTATAACTACATCATTCTTTCCAGTAGGCGTTGTAACACCATCTGCGTCATCTGCTTCTGTGCGCATACTTGTGAAGAAGAAACTGTTATAGCACACTATCTGTCATCTGTTATTGTGACGGTGCTGCAACAGCAGCTCGGCAGCATACTTGATAAATCTGTTAGACAAGGCGTGCAACTCTAGAGGGGGGGTGAATAGAGTTGTTGAGATTGTTAGAATAAAGGACCAACGCTATAGGGGGGTGAATAGCGTTTGATCAAAAATCACAGGAATAAAAATGAATAAACGAGAAGTAAAGAGAAGAGTAAGAGGCACCGATTTTACCCTGGTTCACCACAACTTGTGGCTAATCCAGCCTCCCGAGAGACTCTCTCGAGCTACACTACTATCTCGTTAAGCTTAACGGTGCTTAACAAACCCGTACAACTTGAGAGTTCAAGTCACACGAACCTCAACAAACCTTCGAAGGAAACAACCCTTCCTTTGAACAACAAGAGAAGTACGTTCTCTTGTCAAGTGTCTAAGAACACTAAAGACACTCAAGAACAATACTCTCTCTTAGAGTAGATAATGAGTAACTAAGAACGCTCAAGAACGCAACACAAGCTTCACAAAAAATGGCTCTCAAAAAGCTATGAAAAAGTGATGAATGATTTGCAATGAAAGAGTAGAAGTTGTGAAGTTATGTGATGATTAAAACAGACCCAAACACCCCATTTTATAGTGGAAAAATAGGCTCCAATGGACCAAAACATTTAAGGGGTGATTGGAACAATTTGTGGGATTTGATTAAATTTGGATCTGCTGAAATTCACCCAGACAGCGCTGTCCTAGGCTTGGACATCGCTGTTCTAGGCTTGGTTTTTAAAAATTGGGAAGCAACGGTCATGCCAACAGCGATGTCCAATACCCCTACATCGCTGTTTTGGCTGTTGACTTCCAAACAAGGAAAGTTTTAGCCTTAAATTTCTT